TAGGGGTTATATAGGGATTATAAAATTTCGTGAAAGAGAGAGAGTCCGGGACTGGCTGCAGCTTCCTCCCTTTCAGGACTTGTAAGATACATTGCTCTCTGAAGTCCCAAAGCGCAGGGCAAAAGCTTGTGCAGATCCTGTACTTGCTGACCGCACAATCCGTATTGTAAGCGCCTCCAAAGCTGTGGGACCTCTAATGTTTGGAAACTACACGTCTGCATTGCGAGAGGGCGGCACTGGTCAATATTTTTGTCCGCAAAGGAAACTCCTTTGGCACGACATGCGGAAATTGTAAGGATACGTCACTTTCTTCCTACAACAACAAAAGACAATTACGAGTTCTACAAGTTCTTCAAGGCACTTTTTTGATCATTGCCAGGGGATGCTGTCCGCTTCAAAGCCCAAACCCTGAACCCCAANNCCTAAAACCCCAAATCCTGAAACCATAAACTCTATAGCCTAGTCCCTAGATCTTATACCCTAAATCCTTAAGCCCTCTTCGAGTGTTGCTCAGGAGAAATCTGCTTCGCAGGGCAACCTGGACGCCCAGCGCCCCCGGCTTGATTTGCAGAAGAAGTTTAGGGCGCTTGGGGTTCAGAGTATAGGGCTTGGGGTGTAGGGTTTNNGTCTGGGGTTTGGGGTTTCGGGTTTGGGCTCAGGGTTTAGGGTTTGGAGTGTAGGGTTTAGGGCAGCAAGAGGATTGTACGGTTGGCGTTGTAGACCTCCCTTAATTAAGGGCTTCTATTAGAGGAAGTTGGTGCAGATATCGAAAAGGGTGAATGGAAAAGAAAGACGAACGGGTGTAGGGTGTGGGGTTGAACCTAGTAATTATAGTGCATGACTGTTCAGGACAGTAGAGCATCAAATGGGAAATCGATAGCGAAATGGAAGCGGCCATATTGCGTAGGGTTTTGGGTTTAGGGTGTGGTGAATCACATGGAACATCGAACTGAAGATGAAAAATATGAAATGGGATATGCAGGGTTTGGGGTCATCAGGCTTGAGGGTTTAGGATTGATGGTTTGGGGTCCATGGTTCCGCGTTCACGGTGTAGCTAGGGACTCTTCAGGGCTCAGGATGTAAGACTGTTTGACACCCTCATCCATTGCTAACCCTTATCTGTCAAGAGAAATTACATGCCGGATGAGCCTCCAGATGCGATTTTCGCAACATACTCCCAAACAAAGCTTGATAACGACCTAACATAAACTCATTGAATCCCCTGTATCCCTGCCTAAACCCTAAACCCTGAACCCTAAGCCCCAACCCTTACAGGTTCAATCTGGCGGTGGTGCTGCTGACAGGTGCATGGGTTGGGGGGTTTAGGGGTTCAGGGTGTTGGGTCGAGCGGTTTAGGGGCTTTGGCATGGAGATCCTTACATGCCGCCACATATGCTTGTACCAGCCTTCCAGAATAATGCATATCCCTCCCCCCAATTTGTAGAAGCCCGATCCATTTGTATACTTGAAGGTTCATGGGACTTAATAACTACTTCTAACTGGGGCTTTACCCTAACTTATCCTTGAGGTAACCTACCTAAGTCCAGTTAGGGGGGTTGTAGGTAAGGTTATAAGCCCAGTTATAAGTAGTGACTAAGCCCCATGAACCTTCAACTACGTTGCCCCAAACTAAACCCTAAACCCTAAACCCTAAACTCTAAACCCTAAGTCCTAAACCCTAAGCCCTAAACCCTAAACCCTGAACCCTGAACCCTGAACCCTGGACCTGGCTTTGGTGTAATGGGCCATTACAATAACTTTCTGCGACAGCGAGCTGCGAGTAGAATAGGGATCACTGAAGAAGGACCGCTAGCAAGTCAATCTTTGTGATGAGTTTCCTAACCCTGTTTGAGGTTTCAGGGTTTGGGGTTTCCTAAGCCCTGTTGCTTGGGGTGCCCCTATTTCAAATATACCTTTCAATCACAGAATGACATCATTTATTCGTTTACTCGATTGCGTGGTGTGGTCATATCCCTATCTCAGGTTTTAGGGCTCAGGGTTTTCCTAAGCCCTGTTCTTTGGAGTACCCCTATTTTGAAAAGCCTCCATCCACCCCCGTCTTCAGTGCAGGCGCCGCGCCTGACCGGCCGCGCGCCCAACGCTTGGCGACGGCGGCAGCTGCGGGTGGCCATGCAAAGGTGCAATTTCGGGATCCTCCCGGTTTGGGGCGTAGGGTTTAGGGTTTCCCCTAATTAGGGTACCTTTTGGCGGTCCCCATAACATGGACGGTAGAACTTCGGGGGGCTATATCGGTGTCCCTATTTATGGGAACTACCACCTCTTTTTGGAGGGTCAGGGGGACTTTGTAGGTGGGTTTAACTATCCGGATCTCTGGAGTTACAATGCTTATATGGTTTGTGAGTATACTTCCTAAGTCCCCGTGAGCCTCCCATCATGAGTTCAGTTGCATCTGTAGGCACACTGAAAGAACCTTCCCGAGAAATCGCGCAAGTTCGCGCGATCACCACTTTTTCCAGTCGAGGTCAGCAGGTCTAAAGGGAACCCTACATCGCGACAATGTAGAACTCCTAGCGCTGCTGCTCCGAACTGCATTTGAGCTGTAGTCTAAACTCCTTAAAGGGAGTTATGTAGGGGATTATCTAGGGGACCACCATAGGGCTTATTAAGGGGGATACTAGGAGTTTAGACAATGGTACATTTGAGGACAATAGGGCTCAACAGGGGTTCAGGTTCAGGGTTTAGGGTTTAGTGTGCCCTGTTCTGCTCTGATGCCTCAACCTAAGACTCTACACGAGCCTGAGCCTAATCCAAAACCCACCCTAAACGCTAACCCTAAGGCCTCAGCCCTAAACCCTAACCCCTGGACCAAAAACCCTTAAACCCTAAACCTTCAACCGTAACCCTAAACCCTAGCCCTAAGCCTCAGGCAGAGGCTTTGCTGGAAGCAATAGCGAACGGTGACGCTGCGTGGGCAACACCTCCTGAATCCGAGGCTTGTGCGCTTTGATGTAGGTAGCAAAAAAAGAGCTTAGGGTTTATGGCTTCGGGTTTAGAGTTAGGGTTAAGGGTTTAAGGTTTAGGGTTCAGGGTTTAGGGAAAACTCAAGTTACAGCCAGGTTATAACCTAAACCCCCTGATAGAGACGATTATCCATTACCGTTGTGTTTCGCAATATGCGTACGTAAATTTTTTTTTTCATTTTATTTAATTTATGTTGGGTCCTAGATACTTAGAAGAGGGACTGTTCAGGGAATACGTTGCGTGCCCGGTGCGTTCTGCCTTACCAACCCTTCCCCCCAACGTGACGGGCTCCTCTCCTATTCCCCGCCCATACTGCTCCCATGAGCTCCCTTTCTTTCATGGGACCAGGGCAGCCAGTATGCGGGGAAAGCGAGGGGTAGTACGGTTTAGGGCTTAGGGTTTACAAGTTGTTTGGGTATTCTGCTTTGTGTCTACCTTTCGCATTAGGCTTTAGCTCGCATTGGTAGCTGGACTTCCTTCTTGCTTCATAGGACCATACAGGACCCCTGAACCTCTAGGAAGCTTCCCTAAACCCTGAACCCAGAATCCCCAAACCGTGCTTGGTAGGAAATGAGGGAATGGAGTGTCGAGATGCGAGATCAAGGATTATATACGGAAACTACTGAACAGCCTTACTCTCAAACCTTACAGTTCGGGTTCAGGGCCTAGGGCTTAGGGTTTAGGGCTAACAACGTGTTATTGGACTGCCTTTACGGGCTCAGGAGGGGACTCCGTAAGTGTAGGTTCTAAAGTGGGTGATAAGCAGGGAAATCCCAATTAGGGGACCTAAGCCCTGTTTAGAACCTGCTTACTACGTCCCCTGAGCCTCCGAGCATGGCCCCAACCCTACACCCTAAAGCCATCAGACTTTTTGCAGGCTACCCGGGTGCAGCCCCAACAGCGGTTCGCAACAGCCCTTCTGGACGCGCAGATGCTCTTGCAGGCACCCAGCTTATCCGCCATTAGGGCTCCTACACAGCGTGTGGTAAGGTTTAATTACGGCTAAGGTGTTTTTAAGTTACAACCCAAGTACCGGGGGTAAGACTACAATTCCAGTTCGGTTCTAATTTCCCTGAACCTCCAAGTAGTGTTTCTACACACAGTTCAGGGTATGGATTACTGAGCTGGTGGGCTTGGGCCGGGGTGCTTAACCCAGGCACATGATTGATAAACCCCTTCCCCACATAGGGATTATAATAGGGAGCCTAAGATGAAGGCCCTCAAAAGGAGTGGATCTATAAATTAGGGGGTCTACATTACAGGAAATTCAAAAAAAGGGGTCCTGTTTGTAGAGTCCTTCTGTCGAGACTTCCCAGGCATGCGCATACGGCATACCTTTTCCTCCCCTGAATTGCTGAACTCATGGTTCAATGCACAATCCCTTAACCTAAATCCTACACCCCTAGATCCTAAATCCTAAGCCCCACATCCTATGCACCAGTAAACCTAAATCCTACACCCCTAGCTCCTAAATCCTAAGCCCTACATCCTATGCACTCGAGCCTAAGCCGTAGATCCCAGCTAAATCCTACGACCGATGTCCAAGCTCTAAATCCTGCACCGTAAATCCTAAAGCATAAGCCACTTGAGTAGTAGTTTATTTGGGGATACTATGGTACCCAATAATATAGGGTTAAGGGCCCTATAATGGAGAATCAAATGGAAAAGAAAATGGAAAATGAAATGGAACCTGGGATTATATAGGTGTTATTTGTGTAGTATTTTATTTGGGGATACTATGGTACCCATTATAGAGCAAGATCATATCCTCCTTTTGGGGTATAGTATCTTATATGAGGAATATAATCTTACTGGGTTTAACTACCAACAAAATCACTACTCACTTGGTGGCGCTGCTGGCCATCCCTGCAGGATCTGGCAAGCTCCCCGGGGCCGCGTGCTAAAGTCTTTGTGCAGGACCTCCTGCGTCAGCTGGAGGCTCGGGTGCAGGGCTTCTTTGGAATGAAGGAATGGACCAGAGCGTAGAAACTTTTTTGTTTCTTGGGCTTGCACAGGGGCTGCGGTAGAGATCGTGTCCTCCCTTTCCTGCTGACCATCTAAGTTCGGGGCTTAGGATTAAAGCCCCCTTAAGTAGATAGAATATGGCTTTGGGTATACTTTAATAAGATGCCCATATACCATATGCTATCTACTTATGAAGGGGATCTATAAGCACTTGTTGCTTAGGGTTCTTTGGGCTTAGGATTCAGAAGTAGGTGTTCAAGCTCAGTTTTGTGCTTATGATGTTGGAGTTGCGGTTGAGGGCTCATTCGGGCCATAGTTTAAACTCCTTGAAAGGGATTATATAGGGGATTATGTAGGGATTATTATTGGGGTTATTCAGGGGGATATTATGAGTTTCGATTATAGCTCATTTGGCATACCCTAAACCCTAAGCTGGGTCCTGTCAAGCGTCGAGGGGCTTTGGAAACTAAAGTTGGTGTTTGCGGTTTCAGGGTTTGGAGTTTAGGCTTGTCAAGCTTGGGGTTGCTAGAGATCCTGTTTAGGGATTTCGGGAGGATTGTAACGGTCTCTTCCAGGATTCTTTCGGCAGCCTCTGGAGAAATCCCCATGCAGGCCTTGACAGGGAGTTTGTATAATTGTATGTTGGGTACTGCCCCCACCCAGTAACAGTCTGTATTAGGGGTCCTATTTAAGGCTATATATAACCATGATATATTTATTGTCCAACTGTTACTGGGGGGGGGGCAGTACCCAAACTGTAGGCATTGTGCCAGGGATTTCATTTCACGTGCAGGGTCCGGTAATTACGCCCATTCTGTTGTGTTGTAATCCCCTCCCCCTAATAANNAATATTTATTATTAGGGGGAGGGGATTAGAATTGAAAGGGTACGCTTTCCGGTGCTTTTTGTTGTCCCTGAGCCCTAATCCGCAGGAGTTGTCGTTGCTTCAGTGCCGTACCGTTCAACTACACTCCTTGGCACTTAGCTAGGACTTTAGACCCTTCTTTTTTTGGTGTTCCACTGTTTTCCTATTACAGGTACCTAGACGTTCACTTTAGTCGGGGTGCGAAGTGAAATGGTGTAAAAGTCCCAGGGTTGATATTCCCTCATAGCTCTAGAAGGTTTAGGGTTTAGGGTTTAGAGTTTAGGGTTAAGGGTTTAGGGTTTAGGGACCCTTAGTGGGGAGGAATAAAGGCAATGTGTAAGGGTTATATACAGTAATGGGATTAGGGGTCCCTTCTAGGGGTTCGATATTGAGGCCTCCAACCGGCATTGGCGCCGCCCATCCGTGCAGGTGCTCATAAGATCACACCCGAATCTTGAGACGTGCGCCCTGAGCCCCGAGTGTATAAGGGTATATAGCCTTAACGATGAAAAACACATGTACAAGAACATGGGAAATGAGCTGAAAACTAGGGTTATACCTTTTTTTTTGCTAAGCCTTGTGCCTTCTGTCCCAGGATCTACAGACAGACTTTCGCAGGTGCAAGGACCGAGCCAAAATTTTCGTGCCAGCTGCATGCAGTGGATGCTGGGTGGGGTTTAAGGTCTACGGTTTAGGGATCAGGGTTCAGGGATTAGGCTTTCGGGTTTAGGGTTGAGCCCGAAGTGCTAGAAGATATGGGTATTGCGGTATTTCACTGCATAACCCCCATACAATCCCGAATGAGGACCGGATCCATCCCCTTATACTCCCCAAATGTCTCTGGGGCCCCTAAGGGCGCCCTCTCTTGAGAAAGACTTGCCTTTGGTTAGCTAGGAATGAAGGAATGGACCCTTAGAGTAGTCCGTACATAACCCATTATTGTAGTTTCCATGTTTTCCATCCCTTCTAAACCCTAAACCCAGTTTCCATTTTCTTTTCCATGCCTTCTAAACCTTAAACCCCTAACCCATGATGGTAGTTTCTATTGTCTTTTCCATGCCTCCATTCCCTGCTAACCAAAGGCCAGAAGACCCATCTTGTAAGAGCCCTGGGAAGGTCAGAAGTAGATTTGGGCCCAGGCATCTGAAGCAAGGTTTAGGGTTGAAGGGTTTAGGGTTTTAGAGTCTAGGGTTTTAGGGTATAGGGTTTTAGAGTTTAGGGTTTTGGGTTTAGGGGTTTAGGGCTTAGGGCTTGAGGGTTTAGGGTTTTATGGTTTAGGTTTTTATGGTTTAGGGTTTTAGGGTTTAAGGTTTTAGGGTTCAGGGTTTGAGGGTTTAGGGTTTTACGGTTCAGGGTTTGCGCTGTTAAGGTGAACTTTCAGAAAATCAGGGGCACCTTTGCTGGAGGTCAGCGTCAAAAGTAACGTCCTCTATTTATGGAGACTCCCAAATCCTGAGCCGCAAAGCTTTGGGTCCAGCTTTCTGCAAATCACATTGCTGGGGTAAATCTGAAACTATTTTGGCTAGAATTTCTGAATTCACCTGACCTTATTTGATGCTTACCCTTGTGAGAAACCTATTTTTGAAGAAGTCTGCGAATCTAATCGCTAAATCATGCAACATCCCTAACCCTTGGGTACTGCCCCCCCCTTTTTTAACAGTTGGATAATAACTATAATATGGTTATATATAGCCCTTAATAGGACCCCTAATATAGACTGTTACTGGGAGGGGGCAGTACCCAACCTAAACCCTGAACTATATAACCCCAAAATAGTGTAGTAGTTTCCATTTTCTTTTCCATTATCCCCATATAACCCCTATATAACCCCTATATAACCCCTATATTAACCCACTGAAGCCGTGAACTGTTGACCAGGACATGGCTGCGCAGCCTTCGAGGACTTTGTTCCAAGACGCCGAAATCGTGGATTGAAAGCACAGCGCTGGCAGTTGCTAAATTCTAGGTACGTCCTGAAAAAGCCCCAAACCCTAATTTCTAGGCTGGGTCTAGGGTTTAGGGAGTCTCTTATATATTAGGTTGGGCCCCCTCACCCAGTAAGAGTTGTATATAAGGAATGTTTAGGGGAAACCCAAATATTGCGGTCCCCCTATTTGGGGAAACAACCATATCTTGAACATTTAATTTAAGGACTGTAAGACTCCAATATTACTGGTATCGTTCCTTTGGGGTCCCTATCTGTGGGTGGAGGCCTATCCCAAGTCTGTCATTGGGTTTAGGGTTTAGGCTTGTTGCAAGCGCGGACTAGAGGGGTACGTAGAACCAATTTCGTGGAGGGCTTTAGGGAAGATGAATGTTAAGGTATTGTGTGACTCAAGTACCCAAGCCTGCAGAAGTAGCCTGGGATCATACAGGATGTCGTACACCAACAATATCACCACATCTTCACTGACATGAGCTATAGTCTAAACTCCTTAGGGGGGATTATATAGCGGAGTGTTATAGGGGTTATTAAAGGAGATACTGGGAGCTTAGACTGTACCTCACACGTGCGCCTCAGCTTCGCCATTGAATAGGTATCCCAGAAATCAGTCTGCCATTTTCGTACTTGTTTTTCTACCCCGGAGGGTTCAGGGTCTAGGGTTTAGGCGAACTGGGTGTCCTGATGTAAAGAAGACCGAAAAGTTTTTCTTGTGAGGTTAGAAACATGCTCAAGAATTCTTTCGTTCTTCGCATGGGAGCTTCCATAAGCAAGGGAGCCGAATATAGTATAATCCTGATTATTGGGACCCCCCCCCCCTCCCTCCCCCCCCAAAAAAAAGGCTCCCATTTTTTAATCCTTAATCCTTATAAAGCCACTACATAATCCAGTTTCCATGTTGTTTTCCGTTTTCTTTCCATTTGATTCTCCGTCTTGGGGCAATATGAGTATTTGCAAAACACGAACAAAAAAGAACCCGCACTTTTTTGGGGAACCCTCACATGTAAAACTCGTCGGAGGGATAGGGAGGTCCAGTGACGCGTGTTAGCAGAAGTACTGGTGGTGCTGTCAGCTTGCCAAGACGCTAACCCTAAACCCTAAACGTTTAGGGTGCCGCTTTGCCAATCCAAGCCTCTCCGATGTCTTGAGCGTTTGCTCTAGGAGCAGAAAGGGAGCTTGTGATACCAAGATGCTTTATCTGCTTATGAACTGAGGTGTGAAGAATGAAGAAACAAGTTGTTAGGCCAGTTAGGTCATCCACTCAGTGGTTTGCTGCCTTAGCTGTCCAGTGGGGCTTAAGTTCAGAATGGCTTTTTGGGTTATTCTATAAGGCTTATAAGGGACAACATTGGACATTATTCAGGCCCTGAACCCTAAACCCTAAACCCTAACCCCTACACTAGCTCACTAGCCTCTCTTGCGACGATGGCCGGGCGCACGCCGAAGGATGTCTCGCCAGAAGTGGCTTTTCTAATTTAGGAACTTCCACCCAAAATTGGGGGTACCTTTTTGGGGGTCCCTAAAATAAGGATTCCAGTGTTTTGGGGTTTACATTACGGGGGCGTACATTAAGGGCCCCATGTTTGGGGAAACTACTCTTTGGGAGCCTCCGAAAATTAGGGATCCCTGTTCTGTTCAGTTCTTGTGTCCCTGCAGTGGGTTTAGTGTTCAGGGTGCTGGGGTCTTTTAGAGTTATTAAAACGAGGGTTCTAGAATTTTGGGATCTGTTGGAGTCATTAACATGAGGGTTTCGGTATTCTGGGTTCTGTGGTGTTCCGGGATCTCTTGGAATCATCAGGATAGGGGTTATACAGTATGCTGGGATTTTTTGTAGTCAGTATACAAGAGGCTAAATACAGAGTATTCTGGGTTTTCTGGGAGCCATTGTAATAAGAGTTATGTACAGTGCTCTGGCGTGTATATGTGTCAGCATCCTCCCTGGGGGTCTGAGAAACTTAAACTACCAGTTGCATGCTGCTGAAGGGTGCCAAGATTGGAGTCTTCTCTGTAGGATTTTCGCGGAACATACCACACCTGAGCATTTCCTTAGGGGACTGGATTTGGGATTTAGGGCTGACATGAGACTTGAAACCAAGCTGCGTAACCACTCAGGGTGAGCGCCGCACGCCGAGAAGTGCAAGAGGAGAGGCAAACAGGCCGCTGCGGCAATCTGCCTATGGTTGCCATGTGAGCCATAGTCTACACTCCTTAAAGGGGGTGAGATAGGGGACTATATTCAGGACTATGATAGGGGTGATTGAGTTTAGGGGGGATGCTAGGGGTCTAGACTATGGCTCATATAGTCCCTGTCGATTGTCAGAAGCCTAGTCCCCAAATTATCGCAGGGAACCAGAAAAGGACCCAAGGCTTGGCAACTGTCCCTTTGAAAGTTTCCCAAGATTAGGGTTACTTTTTTAGGGGGCCCCATGATAAGGATTATAATCCCTAGGGGTTTAGACTGGGGTCGTCCCAAACTTATGGTAACTACCATATACCTTTGTTTATAGATTAGAATCTCGCATAGGGGGCCTGTCCCTGTCTGGGACGCCCCCTTGGGGATTCTACGGGGTTTAGGGTTTAGGGTCCATATATATGTATATGTATGTGTATGTATATATGTATATACAACCAGGCATGCAAGGCTACATAGGGATCCAAGAGAAGTTGACCACACATACCTCTTGACTTAAACTTACCTCCTAAAGGTCTCCAACAGGGGAACTATGAGCCAAACTGCCGACCCTCCACTTCCATTGAGGGTATGTAGATACGGTATGTTAGGTTTTTTTGAGGAGGGATGTATAGGGATGTATAGGGGCATATATGGGGAGAAATGTATGTGTGTGTAAATATATACTTTCTCATCGAGGATATAGAGGTAGCGCAGCGAATCAACTCGAAAAGACAATGGAAATCAAATGCAAACCGGGATTGCACTGCGGTTTGCAAGGTGAAGGAACTGTTATAACCAGGCAATCTTCTGTAGTCTCTTCTAGTCAAAGCCGAAGATAGCACGACCCTCTCCGGATTACATGAGGATATAAGTCTTACCTACCTTCCTCAACTTGCTCCTGCTGTTGAATCGAAACTATGGCTCGATCCGTGTACGTCGATGATGTTAATGTACTCTTATCAGGCGTCCGCCGGTGCCCTTCGTTTCGGTGCCCCGGCAAGAAGTTAGAAACGTTTATCAAAACCTAAACGGCGAAACCCCTGAACCCGGAATCCCTAAACAATCCACCCAAAACCGTAGACCCCCAAGCGAAAAGCCAGGCCAAATTCCTGAAAATGCCCTTGGTCCATGTTGATCCTGCTTCGCATGAGATGGCAGCAGTTGGTGATCCCATTGCTCTTCATTAGCCCTACATACAACTTCCTTGCTGGAGCCGTATCACTGCCTTCCAATTCTGGATTAAAAGTGAGCCATGCTCTAAACTCCTTAAAGAGGATTATAGAGGGCGTTTACTATAGGGGTTTCAACGAGCTCATGTCAATTCTTTTCGAATTTACATTTGTATTTTTTGCATAGCCGCAGCCTCATCTTCCTGATCCTGAGGCTTCTTTTCGCAGGCTGCCGAGCCCTTAACCCTAAACACAAAACCTGAAACCTTTAAGCGGTATGGAAGTTTAGCGCACTTTGGCTCGGCTGCAGATGCCTTTGGCCACGAAGCCGCAGGGTGTTG